GCGCCCGCTGGCTCTTATATGCACCCTTGGGCACCTCCCTGCTGCCCCTGGCCTTGCCACCGCGACCTTGGGAGATAGCGTGGCAGCTGGAACTTCTCCAGGAAATAGCCTGGGATCATGACACCTGGAGCCAGCATCCTTGGCTATGCTGTGGGACCGCACCGGCCTGGACTAAATGCTGGCACCTAAATGTCCTTGGAATCATTCCAGGTTGCCCATGTCCTTCATAATTGGGGTCCCAGAGTTGGGCACAGCACTGCATGCATGGTCTCAGCATAGCAGAGCAGAGGAGCATAGTCCCCTCCCTTGACGTGCTCCTCAGTCTGCTGCAGTTTTAGCCAAAGATACTGTGGGGTTTTTTGGGCTGCCCGCACACTTTGCCATGGAGTAGTGGAGTTTGGAAGGACCACGGAGTTCACCTAGGGCTGGGTCTGCAGAGCCCTTCCAGGCTGCCACCCAGACAGGGGTTCATCCAGAGGTCCAGGTGTCTGGGACACCAAGGAGTGGGGTGAGAAGGTTCGAGTGCTGGCAATATGCCGGTGGCACCATACCAGCTGCCACGCTATCTCCCAAGGTCGCGGTGGCAAGGCCAGGGGCAGCAGGGAGGTGCCCAAGGGTGCATATAAGAGCCAGCGGGCGCCGGGTAGGTCAGTCCTCGCAAGTGGCAATGGCTCTGCTGTGGGTGTTGAGCTGCCTGGCGCTGGCGGGCTTTGCCCGTGCCGCCCTCCCTGAGAGTGCGTGGGGCCGTGGGGCTTGGCGGGATGGGCTCGGGGCTCGGGCGGGCGGCAGTGGTGGGGAGGGGACACGGGGCCGGGGTGGCTGGAGCCGCCGTCCCACGGCCGCCTGTGCCCCGCAGACTGCGGCGTGCCCGCCATCACACCGGTCATCCGCGGCTACAACCGGGGCCGGGGTGGCTGGAGCCGCCGTCCCACGGCCGCCTGTGCCCCGCAGACTGCGGCGTGCCCGCCATCACACCGGTCATCCGCGGCTACAACCGCATTGTCAACGGGGAGGCGGCGGTGGCAGGCTCCTGGCCGTGGCAGGTGTCCCTGCAGGTGAGAGCCCGAGGCGGGCCGGGGGCGGGGGTGGGCGCCGTGCGGGGCCCGGGCACGGAGCTCGCCGGCGGCGGTGCCGGCGGCGGTGCCGGGTGCTGAGGGCGGCTCTCCCCGCCAGCGCAACAACGGCTTCCACTTCTGCGGCGGGTCCCTGATCAGCGAGAACTGGGTGGTCACCGCTGCCCACTGCGGCGTCAGGTAGGCACCGGCTCTGCTGCGGGCCGGGCCGGGGCCGGGCACGGGCACGGGGTGCCCTGGGAGCCCGCTGTCCCCGTGCTCAGTGCCTGCCTGTGCCCAGGAAAACCGACACCGTGGTGGTGGGCGCCTACGACCAGGACGCACCCGGCCCTGATCAGCAGGAGCTGAAAATCGAGAAGGTACCTGCGGGGCGGGGCCCGTGTGCCTGCGGGATCCCACGGCCAGCACAGGCGGCCCGGGGGCTTATGTCCGGGTCCCCCTTGTGCCGGGGTTTGTGCTCCTGAGGAGTCCCCGCTTCCCCTGATGCGGAGGGTGAGGGTTCCCTGGGGTGTGCATGGTGTCCCACATCCCTGCA